TCCACACCCCCAGGAATTGGTCCCATTGCGTTTTCTGAAACTGGTTTCGTCGATGGAGGCAGTCTTGTTTCCTTTAGTTCCGTGACCAATCAGCAACGGAAGAAGGACGTGCTCAATTCCACCCTGCTTTCTCAGTTGGCAGCAAACAAGAAGTACAACCGCTTCACTAACCCCAGCGATTGGTACGCGTTTTATAGGAAGGTGGCGTCAGAAGTCGCATGGGTTACGCAAAGTTTCAAACCGTTCGAGAGATACGCTTCCTTTCCAAATGAATTTACGATCTCTGATGTTGTGATCAACGTCTTCAGTGGGGCCTTAAAAGTTGACGAGGGTGAGAAGAGGGCTTTGAAAGACACAATCGAGAGTTTAGAGAAATCCAAAAGTGCGTTAACCCTTTTCGAATCCAACAGCATTGAGAGCAATCGTGGTAACTTCCAGATTTTTGCATGCACAGTTGACGAGAACGAGCAGATTAGCGCTTCCCACCTTGGTTGCTATTTTCAGTCCACAGAAATAAAAGACAACTATTTCTTCGCGAAGAGGGAAAAGCAGGACATAACATTGCAGATGTCGGCAGAAGTCCTTATTTTAAAGGAAGATGTTTACGACCAAGTTCGCGAAGAAGTCAATCAGAAACTGGGCAACAGAGTCACGCGCTTCCTTTCGCATCTCAACCTATAAATGGTCTCGGTGCATACGAAGAGCTGAACATTATTGTCTACGTTTTTTATTCAGGACGGATATAGTTTGGGAATTGATAGCGAATGAGACTTTACCTCTGCCAATCTATGTTACCCTTGTCCCTCTTATCCGTTTCGTTCGTTGAAAATTGCTCTTTTGTAATCAGGACATATACCTGAAAAGTGCTCATCAGCAACTTTTAATTCCCTTTAACAAAGTAGCTGTAAGAAATTGTTTGTTATCGTAGGTATGTTAGTTTAGTTGACACCGAGACCTCGAAGGATATCATGACAACTGAAAAAGTCTTGGTATAATCATAATGTCTAAGCGTAGGTCATGTTTTTTTGTGAACACCTGGGTTTGGTTCACTATGCGTCTTTAATTGATTCCTTTATAGTTAAGCTTTGACATTTTGTAAAATTAGCTGCGAACTGAACATTGCTTTGAACATTGCAGCAGGTCAAGTTTAGCGATATCGTCCTGTTTTCATTTTTTTTTGATTTTTTGTTTTCGTTTTTTAAGGAGCTAAATGTACGTAGAGGAAAGAGACTTGCTTTTATGCAAAATCAATACTTTGGCTTTAAGCTTTTTTTCCAGTTTGAGTAACGCTTTATTATCGATATCATCAGTAATGTTAACTTACTTCTGTAAAGTTTCCATATATAGTCCCTGAGGAAACTGCTCATGATGTACCGTGCAATCACTGTGGGAGTCATTTTTAATAAAATGGTGTGTATTAAAACATTCAGAAAGTAGTTTGGTCTAAAAATTGTTTACCTTTCTCAATAAGAGTTTGATGAGCTTGATTTCTATTTTCCTTTTAAAAGGCTTTTTCCTTTCTTCTTTTTACATTCTATACTTACAAGAAGAGGTTAAGTCATTAGAAATATTCTTTGCATTCGTAGTCCGTCTGTTACAGACTCCAGTTCATTTCCCTCCGAATGAAGGGGCGACCCCACACCGTTTTTTAAGTATAGATCTAAATTTCTAAATTTCTTCGAATCAGCTGTCAGTCACAGATGGCTTGTTTCGCCGCTGAGCTCTACAAGGACAGATGTTCTTCAGGTCACTCGTACGAAGCATGTTCTCTCTCAGTCCTACGGGTTGTCAGTCAACAG